ACAGCCAGCAGCATTACCCAATGATTCTGACCACTACTGTAAGGGGTGTTCTTCCCTGATCACTAATGTAAGGGGCATTCTTTCCACTGATCACCAATAAATTCATTTTAGCAAGGGTTCCTTGAGACCTGAAAATTGTTTTAAGGGTTCCGCTGTGGTCATAAGTTTGAGGAAGGGGCCGGTCTCAATATTTTCTCAGTGGTTTCCTTTAAACATGCCAATTACTTTCAGAGGAACATTTCAGTATGACTTCAATTAGTGATGTCGCAAGTTTTCACCCACTGAAATTGGATGTTAATAAACCAAATTCTGCATGTGATAGACAAGTGTAAATGTGCTGGGCTTGGTGTAATTTAATCCTATTAAAGTGTTTGCATTTAGCAAGCCAGTAATGCTCTGTGTCTCTGGCTAAATCATTGTAGCACCACATGCCTCCCTCCCAAATGATTCATCTGACCCTTTTGGTTTGCATTTCGAAATAAATATTTGTATTTCCAAGGTCCATGCCACACAGAGTGTGGCGACAGAGGATGCGACGGGGCCGGCGCTGATCAGTGTCTCAACTGTGTTCACTATAGTCTTGGCAGTGTCAAATCTGGCAGGTAAGTTGGTGTTTAACATGTTCTGTTTGCTCATAGAAATAATAGTGATATGTTTCCAGCATTAACTCTAGACCAGGGGAAGGCAACCTTGGCACTCGAGCTGTGGAACGACAAGTTCCATGGAGCACTCAAAGAAGGCCACAGGCATGACTATCGGGCAAGATGGAATTTGTAGTTTTAGCACAGCTGGACTGCCAAGGTTGCCTACTTCTGCTCTAGATAAAATGCTACTGTGTCAATGTGATAGGATAAAGATTTTATCGTGGGGATGATTGATGAAACCATAGTGTGAAAACAGTGATGTATTTGTTCATTTTGATGATTATCAATATTTAATTGCTAACACAACCTATAGTGGGTGCCATGTAAGAATTTCAATCTTTTGTAATCCCTCCTACTTGGAAGTCTCACTCCCTAGCTCTTTAACTTGCTCTTTTGACCTCATTATTTAATTTTTTCATCCTTTTTCTTACATGGATGCACCACCACTAGAAATGTGCTCTACCCATACTTATACCCATCATGTCACCTCTTAAGATAGTGGCTTCATCAGGAAACAGTGTTAAAAGTGCTCTGTCCCAGTATCAAAGAAAGTGCCGTCTGCCTCCTTTTGTAGCTGCTATTTATAACTCTTGCTCATGCTGCGTCACGACATGTTTAAATGCTTACAAGTGCTGTTGTACGTCGCTGGGTGCAGATGGTCTCTGTCCAGGGACATAAATCTATACATGTACACATGTATACCCTATGATCGATTTTGCCAACGTACAGCTGCTGCCTGTCATTCATTTGTACAGTAGTTGCATGCAATACCTGTGACCTCTCAGGTGCAGAAATATGGCCTTTTTTACTGTGTGCAGTCTTCTGTGCCCATGTGAATGAGCTCTAATTATTCTCTAGAAGCAAAACTTTGTATATGCAGCTAGATTGAATGCACCTAGACACTGCTGAACTCTAGTGAAAAACATTACATCAGATGCAGTTAGAAATTAGCCCCCAAACACCTCTGTACACATGTATTTTGACGCTTGTGTGCACGAGGCCTTATGGAGGTCTAGCGCTGGTGTGTGTTGAGCTGATATACACCAGCCTTATATCTTTTGAATTATCTTCTTACCTTATATCTCTTATTTTACTTGTAATCTTTTGCCTTTGGTTTGATGCAGGAAGTGTGTGAGTACCTGTCCGTCTGGGTTCATGGTAGACGTGGCTGGCAGAAGGTGCAGGCGCTGCCATAGAGGGTGTGAATCCTGTTTTGGACGCAGTCAGAACCAGTGCAGTTCCTGTAAGAGAGGCTTCTACGTTCAGCCTGAGAGCAGTTCCTGTACAACCACATGTTCAGCCGGAGCATATGCCGATGAAAGTAAATATGTACAGCCTTCGTTCTTACCCTTTCTCCTCCGACAGGTGCCCCTATGTTTCCACTGCCATTAGTTTTCATGGGATATGCTGTATTTGTTTTTTTCAATCTATCACATGAAGCTAGTGTCTTCACCAAGACTGTTTGTCACACAAGCCGTTTACTTACACGTAAATATTTTATAGGTAGTTCTTAGTCTGGTTTGTTGTTTGCAATTCCTGCGTTATGATGGTCATTATCAGCTATAGAAGTTGTTTCCTTACTATTGGTTCTTCACTTGGATCCAATGGAATAATGCATGCAGCCCAAGCCAGTGATAAACTTAGATCTGGCAGTTCAATTTTCATTTTGACTATACAATGATATATTCTGTGTGAAAACACTTCACTTATGATGTGAGATCCACAAAGAAGCTGTAGATGATAAACCTAAAGTTATACAACATGGATTTGCTCTGTCTTTTAACTCTTTCGCTACCAAGCCCTGTGTAACACTCGGGATAATATTAGGGCCTGAAACTTCCCTTCTGAAATAGAAAAAGAAATTGAGGACAGAGCCCTTAAAGTAGAACTATGAGGTGAGTGAAAATCACTCATCCTCATAGTCCGTGCCGACGTTTGACAATTAAACTGTCACACATCGGCTCAATAGATCGGGAAGTGAGCAAATGCATACAGTTGCTCGCTCACTTCTCGATCATCTCCCTGCAGAGAGCGGGCTGTAGGTTGCGATATACTGAGCTTTGGGTCATGGGAGGAAGCTAGTATATGTCCTCCCGTGACCCTCAAGAGAACTATGGGGAAAACACTTAACCCCATAGTTCTCTTAATCTTTTTCTGCAGCCTCTGTGCTGAGTGCTTTCTATCCATTCAGAACAGAGGCTTCCTATTCTCTCAGATGCTGATGACCGCTATTAATTTACAGGGGAGAGTCAGGAGTACCCTTCTGCTATAAATTCATGGTAGCTAAAGCGACCATGAGCTTATAGCAGAAGGGTGAAAGCCACTGACGTAAAGCATACTGACGTGGCCAGCTGGAAGCGTTGCTGGCAGGGAAAGGGTTAAGTCAGTGCAAAGTGCAAGTTATGAAGATAATAGTCTTTTTCCTGATTCATGGATGTGAAAAACTGGGCTATGCATATTGCTCCTTTCTTAAAGCCCCACTCCAGCTAAAATACATTTGAGATGATTCAGTATAAAATTTGCAACACTTCTTGGCATTAATATTCTGCCTTGGAAAGTCCTGCACCAAATTCATAAAAGCGGAGCAACAGTTCTAATGCAAATACTGCAAATAAATAGGGCCTTCATCTTGGAATTATTTGTGTCGGGAGTGAAGAAAAGTACAAGAGTAGTCACATCATTGGTTGGTCTCTAATAATCCAGCTATTAACCTAGCTGTCTGTGTGCTAGCAACCAATTATGCTGTTTGTATAGGCTGCGAGCATCCTTGCAACTGATAATGCTTGGCCCCACAGTGACATTGGTTGCTAGGATGCTGGTGGTCGGGCTTGTAGCTGGATTAAGAGAGGCCGGAGACATGTTCATTGCTATCACAGGGGCTGTAAGAGGCCTGTATACATTGCACGTTATAGGTCTGTGCACACTGCAGATTAGAGACCTGTGCACAATGCAGGCTATAGGTTGGAAGTAGCACCATTTGTCATTCAGACAAATGTTGCAACTGTTCAGTCACAGACTCCTATACACCCTGACAAGTACATGAATTTGTCATATGGTGAGAGGATAGTTTTCTAATGATTAGGGCAAACTTTATGAATTCCAGGGATTTTGTTTTGAGTAGAGCATGAAAGGGTTAAAACTGTTAAGTTTTAATTTCTGTCTGTGACCCCATATGGCAGATTAAGCCCCCCTTCTTCCAGGGCTAAAAGTGATGGGAACATGTAGTGAAGAAGGGTTTAAATGCCTGCTGGTGTTTTTCATGCAGTATTTGCCTTCCTGTCCCAGTGACCACTGCAATTCCCCCATTTTTTTTTTCTAAGGGTATCACAGGGACAGGAAAATAAAAAATCCCCAGTGGGGGGTCACAGAAAAGTTTACTTGGCTAGAGTTGGGCTTTAATGAAGTCAATACATTTCCTCCGAGTTAACCTATATGTATAAACTTACCAGAATTTGCCTCTGGTTTGTTTCATCTCACTAAAACCCTTTAACCCCAAACCTTTCCTGCCCTTTTAAAACAAAATATGTTTTTTAACCTTTCAGTGTCTGGACTATCATTGCATGAAATACTTGGTAAAATGCAATTGATTAAAAAAGGGCTAGAAATTGCTATGCATTTTATTGTGTCCTGCAGTTACCCATTGTCCACTTACCACTGTAAGCAGGACAGATGGAAGTGAGAGTTTGAGAAAGCTTTGTGTTCCAGGTTCCCTCCATGTCTTATCTATATGCTGTACAGGGACAGATTTAACTGTGTAAGTCCCAGGCACATTTTCCCTGAATTCTACAGCTGCACTGGTAACCAGAAAGCTTTGGGGAAAATGTGTCTGGGACTTCTGAGGTCCACTTCCTCTGACGCTTCATGGTAAGTAGGCAATAGCAAGTGATGGAAAGAGTCTAAGACAGTCCAGTAGAGTACAACCAATTCTGCCCATATCCACAAGTGAGGTGAGGGTTTTAAAGTGCACCACTGCACTTTTGAGGCTTTTTAAAGGTTATACAATTAGAAACGTGTATGTCCAGGTTACTACTTGTAGCACATGTTAATCAGAAAGGCGCTTATTTCTTTAATTGCTTGCTCTCTCTAGCTTTCAAGAAAATGTTTTTATATCGTCTTTAGAATAAATGACTGTAGGTGGATAATACGTTCTGTTCTAAACAGTTTTTATATTCAATAAGGTCTCAGACGATGCCTCAAATGTCACCAGAATTGCAAGAAATGTCTTGGATATCCTGATAAGTGTGTAGTCTGCAGAGAAGGCTTCAGGTAAACATCAGAGTACATACCATTGTATCATAATAATAAAGAGGGGCCTTACAGCAGTTCATTCCTTTGCTTGGTATGAGCATTGGTTATATACAATTTAATATTTAACATCTATCACTCAATAGAAACTATTGAAACCCCAGGTGCAGCCATTGTCTATCAGCAGATACCCCATTTAATACGGCGGCTGCAAACTGTTTTTGTTCAGTGAATGGGGCACTTGTTTTTGCTTTGGTCAGGTAGACCTGAAATAGTTGGGTTCCCAAGCCAAACCAAATTTTAAAAACGTTTTAAATGCAGTAGTATTGATTTGTAGGGGACAAATATCTGTACAGAGTTTTCAGGGCCAGACTGAGACAGGAAGGCCTCTCCTGCTTCCACATGGCCCCAGCTGACCTCTGCCCTGTGCAAGATAAAATTATCAAAAACAGGCAGCCCAGTCCTACAGTTCACACTGGGAGAGTCACTCTTCCAATGTAATGGGGGTAGCTATGCTTTCAGTGTGACAGCCCCACCACTTGACATCTTAATTTTGTGTGCCAGGGAACGCAAGTCCCAGCACAGAATGCTTTACAGAAAACATCCAGTACAGAGGCAATCCCTGCTACTCTATAGTCATTAAAAACATTTCTCGTGTTTTTTGTTATCTGTATGACGCTTGTATGGATACGAATATTTTGTACAGCATCATGGGAGATGTTATATAAACTTGCAGTGTTTATATAATATACTAATTAAAATATTGTAGCATGGCAACAAAGCAGGAGCTACATCGTTTTCATATATTTATCTGTTCTCATCCTTAAAGTATGTGTACATTTATTACATTACACAATATGCATAACAAATTTCCAAACAGCCCCTTAAATTAGGCTTGTCATTAGAATCATGGAGGTGGACTGACTTGTGAAATTTGTGATTGCCTATCATGGTGACTGTCTTAGTGCATTAAGTTCTTAACCCGAAACAAGTATGCAGATAAGAATCGGCCTACATATCCCGGGTCTGTGACTTAAAGTGACATTAAACCCTCAGATTTTTTAACATAAAACAATACTGTAGTGTGTCTTACTGTAATCCATGGTTGTTTCCCTTCTCTTCGCTGCTCTTCCTTTTAAATCTGTATCTCATGCTGGACAGAACTTCTGTTTTGCAGCAGACTACCCTGTCTCAGGAATGGATACATGGTGTCTGTGTATAGGTTTGTAACCTGAGCCAGCACTACAGGAAGAGGCCCTGAGCTGCAAAGGGAAGTTCTCACCAAGCATGAGAAGACATGAGGATTTAATAGGAAGAGCAGCAAAGAGAAGGGAAACTACCACGGATTACAGTAAGGCACACATAACAGTATTGGTTTAATGTCACTTTAAAGTACTGAATTGTGCAGAATGTGGCATTGTATTTCCTACAAGACGGGACAAAAGGCAGTGGGGTGGATTGATAAACTACAGCTGTTCCAGGATGAAAAACTAAAGTGCTGAGCTGGTAGGGGATGTGGATTTCTAGGATAACCCATGTTTTGGGGGGGGGGGGGTGAACTCACAAATATTGGTTTTAAATACTGAGACCGCACATTTTGTAGTTTAGTGTTAACTAAACTAGTCCTTTACTAATTCAGTCTAGAGCTTGTTATGGGTTTCTATTGCTAGCCAAAAACTGAAATCATAGTGTCCTTGTATGGGTGAATTTTGATTCACTATTGTACAGATATGTCTGCAAAGGTTCTCATTCATCCCGGTCATGGTAAGTCTGTAAAAAAAATAAAGCAACTGGGCTTGTATTTTTCTTAAAGATGTTTTGCTGTGTATCCAACTAGCTTTCTCAATACTGAAACGTCTTTAAGAAAAATACAGCAAGTCCAAGTGCTTTGATTAATTTTTTACAGACACACTATTTGTACAGAATTCCTCCACAAGTGTTGCAATGTGTCTCTAATTACACCCCTGGGGCTTGTTCCTGTGACTATAGCATGATGACCCTCCAACTCCAGCCAGCCAGTCTTGAGGTAGGAAGTGACTCCTGGAAGAAGAAGAAAGTAAATGGTGTTTATTTGGGAGTTTTTTTGTTTTGGATATAAAACTAAAACATTTGTCAGGTTTGTAATGCTGTGCCCTCATTGGGAAAAGTTCCTCCTGTTTTCTGTCTTGCTGACAGTGCGTAACATATACACTAAGTCGAGGGAAATTTCTGGAATGGAAACCTAACACCAAAAGCACTTTTGGCGTTCCGTGTGACACCTGTTCTCTCATTACATTTTTGATGTTGCAGAAAGTGAGGGAAAATGTCCCCCACTGTGTCAAAAAGAGCAGTATAAACTTGACGGTAGCTTTTCTCTATACAAAAAGCATAGGAAAAGAGAAAAACGCTTTCATCTAGTCGGTCATTAATGGCTAGAAGTAAAACATGGCAGTTAATGCACCATTCACAAAAAATAATTATGTGCCCCAATGCTTTCTACTTTGTGTTCGTGTTTGTACTGCCATCGTTGGGTGTCCACAGAGTCCAGCAAGTCAGATTGTAGATATTTGGGGGGTTTAAGTTGGCCATACACGGGTAGATTTTCACGCTTTCATCTAGTCGGTCATTAATGGCTAGAAGTAAAACATGGCAGTTAATGCACCATTCACAAAAAATAATTATGTGCCCCAATGCTTTCTACTTTGTGTTCGTGTTTGTACTGCCATCGTTGGGTGTCCACAGAGTCCAGCAAGTCAGATTGTAGATATTTGGGGGGTTTAAGTTGGCCATACACGGGTAGATTTCC